CCACATGAGGAAGACGAGAATCACACACAAAATTCATGTTTTTTTTCTGAGGGTGTTATGAATTCTACCTCTCAAAATTGTTCAATTATTTTTTTAGCCACCAGGGGCGCTAGACCTGTGACTTCCAGGTTTAGTGCCACTTAAAACAAATCATTTATAAATCATTTACTTCCAACTTCTCTGTTGTAGTCGTAAGTATAATTAAAGAATTGATGGTGTGAGTGGAGGTTGAAGCTTTTTCCTATCGTTTTCTCACCTGGTATGGACTTAAATATCACTGTTTGTGTGCTGACTCATTGTGTACAGTATTTTCAACTTTACTAGAATCAAACCCTGATGAATAAAAATGAAATCCTTATTATTTAAGAATTAAATCCAGTCAGTGGTTCTGTTTGCCTCTCACGCCCTTTTCTTATTGCCTCTGTAAGCTCTCCAGTCTCAGCGGATGTGAAGGTGAGAGGAAGGTTCGGTCGCTCGCAGACTTCCATGGGAATTGGGACAGTGTGAAAGTACATGCTGTTCTTTTTCCTCTTTCTGACAAGAACACCTAACAGTTTTCTAGGTTTTCTCTTTTTGCATTTTGTAAAAATCAATCATTTATACTTGAAATAAGTTAAAGCATTCATGATTTTTAATGCGAAAATAAAACAAACAGATCTAATAAAACTCGATTTTTAATTTTCTTATTTAAAAGAGTCAAAAGAAAGGACATACATATATGATATAGAGGATAAATTTAACTGCTAAGCAGAAAATCCGTTGTTCTTTGTGATGCTCTTGCTGCAGGGCTTTGAGTTTGGAGTGGGCCTCCTGTTTGAACAGTGTGCTATATAAATATAACTCTGGCCTGCTCTCTGTGTGCACAGGTAGAACAACTCCATATCAAGCTGCAACCATGGATGAGATGGACCTGCCCCAGATGAAGAAGGAGGTGGAGAGCCTGAAGTACCAGCTGGCCTTCAAACGAGAGAAATCCTCCAAAACAGTCACAGAGTGAGTAGATGCTCTGATCAGATGGATACGGAGTGAAGTTTGATCCATTATTGTTGCAAGCAGAGATCATGTTTTACAAATGGAAATTTAAAAATAATGCTATCTAGAAACAAAACATGGAAACATTTTTTAATAAGAAAGTAACTTTCAAGTTAAATTTAATTATTACATTTTTTTCAAATAGCATTTTGGAGATCATATTTGTTCACTTCTGGCAGCAGGGTTTCCTCTAGAGGGAAAAGCAAAGACACATTTTCATTGGTCTGCTGGCAACAACCTTGTGTTGGAAGAGAATCTGTAAAACTCCATCTGAAAATGAGAAATTTGATCAAATAAAGTTCAAAAGTTTCAAATCTGTAAAATAAATTTAGATGATAAAGTAAAAAAAGCAACATTTGAAAAACTAAATATAAAAACAGTAAAAAGAAAAAAAAGCAAGCTTACCTTAATTACCTTTTTTTTTATTTAGAAGTTTTATAAAGTTTGTTATTTTTGGATTACTTTTTTTATTTCTATTTATATATATCAAAAAATATATATGCAATATTATGCTATAGTTCGCTGATTGTTTAATATTCTTGTTTTGTAACTGTCCATCTGGGTCTAACTGTGAGACAATTCATCCATATAGTACATAGGAGCCTAAAGCAAAGTTTATTTTATATGTTTTATTATGTATTTTTTATCAATAAGTTGCATCAAGCATGATCTTGTGCAGTTGTAGGCAGCTCTGACCTTCTTCATCACAGACTTCTGACTCCGCCCATCAGCACAGTTGTAAACTCACCCTCTTTCCAGAAGAGGCGCTGTTAATCCTACTGTGATCTGGAAAACACAATTATTATAATTATACATTAAACTTAATCTGCGGAATAGAATTTATTTTATTTTATTTTATTGGAAGCTAAAACTAAATTACATATCATGTCAAAATAGTTTGCATGTTCAGTTTACCATTTTCTTAAACCTCTCCAGTGCTCAGATCAAGTAGCACATTTCCAATACAGCAAAGTAAATTATTAAAAAAAAAGGAAAAAAAGCATAATAGAGGGAAATTAAATTAAATGCAGCAGTTATTCACAATGTATCACAAATACTTTATGACTTTGATTACATGAAATATGCAAACACTTACCTTGCACATGTGTCTAGCTTTTAGGCAAATTCACTTCTACTGGGGTTGATGTGCTCTGTCCAGTTTGACTATATATGAATACATCTGTCATTCTGCAATCTTAGGGAGAATGTTAGTTTTTCCATTTTACATATTTGGTACAGTATCCAATCTTTAATCATGGATACTTGAGGTTTCAGCCACCTTTAATGGCTTTTTTAGCAGCAACTAGTAGGATCCTGAACAGGGTTCTGTTCTTATATTTTTCAATTAGAAAATATTCATTTAATTTATAAGGGTAACAATCAATTTCTTCAAAAATATTTCTATCTGGAAAACCAGCTAATTGCAATTAGCTGGTTTTCCTTAGAAATATTTTGTGACATTTTCTAATTGCAGCTTTTCTCTGTGTGAGTCTCTCCAGGTTTCTTCCTGTTAAAAGGGAGTTTTTCCTCTCCACTGTCGCTACAAGCATGCTTAGTGTGAGGGATTGCATTCAAGTCAATGAGTCGATACAATTAATAGAAAACTTTGAATTAATTTGACTGTATGATCTGGTGAACTGTAAAGTGCTTTGAGATGAAATGTGTTGTGAATNAGATCAGGATGGTCTCACGAGGCTAGGAGGATGGCAGGTTGACCTGGGAATCTCATGTGATAAACATGTGAAATACAGAAACAGGAGCGGAGGCAACATGTGCCTCAAATGTGAATCGTACAGAAAAATATTTCATCCCAAATTTTGAGATTCGTGTAACATTATTACATAACCAATTCAAGTTTACTTTTTTAAGAACATTTTTAACATCAACCTGTTTAATAAACCTTAAATGACGCATAATCATTACTTTAATGTAGCTTATTTATTTAGAATATATATTTGTCCAATGTATATATTTTGAATTAAGAAAGTATACTTACTCTAAATTAATACTAATGAGTGTATTTATTTCAAATACATACAATTAATTTTTTTATTTTCTCTAATAATCAGGTTAACTTAATGCAATCCAAACAATAAACCCTCTTTATTTGAAATGAATTCACACCAAAGTATTCATTTTGAGTTAGTATACTTTATTAATACTAAATAACCCTGATGATTATATATATATATTTCAAATAAATATCTTTTATTAAACCAGTAAATATAGATATTAGGTTTTTATAATAGGTTTGAGTTTAAATTATCTAAAGAAATTAAAAGGGACTTTGTTATGTATTAAATTTACATGAATGATGGTGAAATATGTCTGTCAGTGTATTTAAAAAATTAATCACATGTTTTTATCATTAAATCCACATTACTATTAAACTTCAGGTCATGTGTTTCACATCCCAATCTCAAAGGTTGAACATTTGGTCACATGTGAACCTCTTTTTATTTTTATAGGAGCAGTATAGTAAAAAGTAGCAGTGAATTAAGACATAGAAAACAAAAAAAGATAACTTTAGTTTTATATATTCGAAACTTTTCAGACTCAAAAATAAACTGAAGAGATTTAAACAGTATTTAAACATTAGCATCATTGCTTAAGTTTAATTTTAGATAGAAATTATTAATAAAACTGAACAATTGGTTTATTATATTGCAGATTGGTGTCGGTGTTTATTTACAATTCTCTATTTCATTTCTCAAAATACACCATAAAATCATTAAATAAAAGCATACAAATATATAACAATGCGAAAATGAACATACATTGTTTGACAAAATTAAAGATAATATTACACAGAGCACAATCATTTTTATTATAATTCATGCAGGGAGTATTACAGATTATATGGACACTGAAATGTAAGTAGAAAAGGAAAGGAAAAACCGGAAAGAGGAGAAAAAAAATGAAAGAAAGAGGAAATAAAAGGGAGACAATGATTAAACATGTTCTATCTGCTGAAACACACAGAGCACAGTGATGTTGCACATGTGTCAGATCTGCAATCACAGGTTCCACATGTGATCATAAATTGAATGGAATATGGAAAATGTTAAAAAAATGCTTGATCATATATGGAAAATGTGATCCACATGAGGAAGACGAGAATCACACACAAAATTCATGTTTTTTTTCTGAGGGTGTTATGAATTCTACCTCTCAAAATTGTTCAATTATTTTTTTAGCCACCAGGGGCGCTAGACCTGTGACTTCCAGGTTTAGTGCCACTTAAAACAAATCATTTATAAATCATTTACTTCCAACTTCTCTGTTGTAGTCGTAAGTATAATTAAAGAATTGATGGTGTGAGTGGAGGTTGAAGCTTTTTCCTATCGTTTTCTCACCTGGTATGGACTTAAATATCACTGTTTGTGTGCTGACTCATTGTGTACAGTATTTTCAACTTTACTAGAATCAAACCCTGATGAATAAAAATGAAATCCTTATTATTTAAGAATTAAATCCAGTCAGTGGTTCTGTTTGCCTCTCACGCCCTTTTCTTATTGCCTCTGTAAGCTCTCCAGTCTCAGCGGATGTGAAGGTGAGAGGAAGGTTCGGTCGCTCGCAGACTTCCATGGGAATTGGGACAGTGTGAAAGTACATGCTGTTCTTTTTCCTCTTTCTGACAAGAACACCTAACAGTTTTCTAGGTTTTCTCTTTTTGCATTTTGTAAAAATCAATCATTTATACTTGAAATAAGTTAAAGCATTCATGATTTTTAATGCGAAAATAAAACAAACAGATCTAATAAAACTCGATTTTTAATTTTCTTATTTAAAAGAGTCAAAAGAAAGGACATACATATATGATATAGAGGATAAATTTAACTGCTAAGCAGAAAATCCGTTGTTCTTTGTGATGCTCTTGCTGCAGGGCTTTGAGTTTGGAGTGGGCCTCCTGTTTGAACAGTGTGCTATATAAATATAACTCTGGCCTGCTCTCTGTGTGCACAGGTAGAACAACTCCATATCAAGCTGCAACCATGGATGAGATGGACCTGCCCCAGATGAAGAAGGAGGTGGAGAGCCTGAAGTACCAGCTGGCCTTCAAACGAGAGAAATCCTCCAAAACAGTCACAGAGTGAGTAGAAGCTACACAGGTCATCCGCTGATAAAAACAGTAAAAAGGAAAAAAAAGCAAACTTACCTTAATTACCTTTTTTTTATTTAGAAGTTTTATAAAGTTTTATTTTTGGATTACATTTTTTTATTTCTATTTATATATATCAAAAATATATATATGCAATATTATGCTATAGTTCGCTGATTGTTTAATATTCTTGTTTTGTAACTGTCCATCTGGGTCTAACTGTGAGACTAAAAAGAATGTCTTAAAAGTTGGACAGGTCTAAAAAAACAGCACTTCTGTTAAGGAAGTTTACAAGGCTTCATTTCTGGATTGCATGTTTTTTTCAAATTTCTATTTACAAAATTTCTTCTTTGCTTTACCCAATAATCCTAATAGGTTTTGAGCTATTTTTTTTTTGTTAACATTTTTATAAGTGTATTTTATTAGGAATCTAGCTGACAGGAGTGGCTGTGATTGTCTTTGAGGTGTTTAAAAAAAATTATCTAAAAACCTTTTTAGAGTTTTTGTCAAGTCTTTAATCTCAATTTTTAAACAAACTCCTGTAAAAAATCATCCTTTGGAAGTCATCTAATTGTCTAAGAATAAATCACACACAAAAGGGTCTTTGAAGGCTCCAAGATTGTAAGCAAACATATGAAAGTATTATGAAGGGAGAAAAACACAGCAGGGAGGCAGAAATAAGTGGTGCAGAGCTGTAAACAGCGCTAGCTTCTAAGCTTCAAACATCCCACAGAGCTTAGTTTAACCCATAAGCTGACAAATTAAGGATTATGGTACCACACCGAACCTGACCCAGACATGGCTGTCCATCCATAAACCCGGACAAGCTGCATAGCAAGGTGTAATGTTAAAAAATATTGTTGTCAGATGAAGTTTTATGAGGTATATTCTTATATATAAATATAAGTCTACAAATTAACACAGAAATTCACAGCGCATCCTAACCCCCTAAACAATTTAGATGTTGGTTTTTAGGCTAAATCTGTCATTTTCTTGATTTAATCCAGAAATAGTTGTTGAAAATTGGTCCATGTTTGGTTGGTGTGATTTTGTCCCACCTTAGTCCAATAACAGACGCTGAAAAGACGTTTCACCTTTCAACCAAATGTAGACGCCGTTTGGTTGTAAATCATGGCAGTTTTTTTGCTCCGTGGGAAGAGCTTGGCGAGAGAAATGTGTGATGTTTAAATCATCATTCAGTGTAAGAACATTGATGGGCGCTCAGCTCTGACAAACTCTGCTTTGCCAGTCCAGAAAATTAGAAAACAAACCACTGGACTTTGTTTCTAAGTCTGAAGACGTTATACTTCCCATCCAGGAAGCTTTTTCAATTCAAAATGTCAGCAATAGCGTTGAGGTCCGAGCTTTATAGAGTGGAGCAAAACAACGCCTTGTTTTTGCTTAGAAACCATGCAAATTAAACCGGAAGAACGGGTCCAACCCTTAGGAATGGGGAGTCGTTTGGGTTCTTTGTTAGCCTTCAATACTCGATTCTGGTCTATGCCTCTGAAAGGGGAGCCGTTAGGGGCGATTGTTAGCCTGGCTGACCAACAAGGCGAGATGTTTTGGTTCCCTGCATGGGGATGGGGGTTGATATGAGGGTTTAGAATCTGCTCTGCCAGCTATTATTGTGCAGAAATCCAACTTTGCATGCGCATAACTCCTTGTCTCCTGATGGTTTGCTAAAAGTCAAATCGTTGCACGGCTCTCTGCCCTCGCTGCTGAATAAACTATATGTGGCTGATTAACACCATCTAAGAGTAAAAGTTATTTTGTCTAGCTTTAGGAATTTTATTTCATTCAGCTCAAAGCATGGCAAATGTATTTGTATAGCACAATTCATTACATTGACCATTTAAAGTGCTTTACATGAATTAGATAATAAAATAGAAAAATAAAAGCAGAATAAAATAGCTAAAGAAAATTGTGCAACAAATGAAACATTTGGAGCACAACCTGAAACTAATAATACCTCAGTTAACAGTTTAACAGTCAAAGGAAGTTCTAAACAAATTGGGTTTTTAAATATTATATCCAGAATAGTTATTTCATTGCTTTCAAATAGGATGTATATGCTGTATTGTCATAAAAACATCTTCCCTGTTTCCTTTAAATATTTCAACATTAAGTTTACATATTTGTTTCTTAAAATCATGGTCTAGTTTGTCATGGCATTATAAGGCAGTTTTGGAGGTTCTCTGTGTCATTTTTTAAAAATCAAACCTCTACGTTAAATCTCTTATATCTGTATCTAAAAATACAATATTATATCTGTCTGTTTATGTTACCTATTTAAAACAATTTTTGGTATATTTACTAGCCATATGAGGCCAATGTGGCGGACCCAATTTTTAACTTTAAAGAGTTTTAAGAGTTATGGTGTAAATTAAATTTAGGTTAAGTTTAGGGTTTGGAATATACTGATAATGTTTAGGGTAGGGTTAGAGTCATGGTTAGGATGTAGAAATGAATGGAAGTTAATGGAAAGTCCCCACAAAGATAGTGATACAATACAATAAAAACTAAATCTAAGAAAATGGAAGTTAATTTTTTAACCCTGTTTGGATTTATACCTTTTTCAAAGTTCAAAGTTTCATTTCAAAAGTGCATTTTTTTATTTTAATTTACAAAATGTGTTTTTCAAATGTACATTATCAGAACTTTTCCTCTGCTCGCAATAAACCAAAATTCCCACTATAGAGAATGCACTTTCACATCACTTTTCCTAAATATATATTCACAATTGTTTTTATTTGCTAACTCACAGGGTAAGAAATACAGGGAGCACAAACTAAAAGAAACGACTACGGTAGTCAGAAAAACATGCATGAATGGGTTTCCGTAGCCTTTAAAAGTCTGTTTGTAGTTGAGCAGTTAGTCATTCACATAGAAATGTTGTTAATCATTTCTAAATAAAATAACATTGATAGGAATTTATAACACCTTTTTTTTAATCAGTGTCCTACTGAAGTGTGAAAATACTTCCTATCATTGAGCCTCTAGATGTTTTTTTTTGCTTTCATCAAATGAACGTGTTTTTAACTAAATGCTCAATATTTTTTTTTTATTTATTTATAGTAAAAGACACCTTAATTTGTTTAAAATGTGTAATCCTTGCTGCATTTTCAGCGTCACAGATTGGACCTCCTAAGACCAGCCACTGTTCTTATTGCTTATAAATGATTAATTTTCAACAGGATAACTATGAAGCAATTTTTTATTTGTCCAGAGTTACAGAAAAATGCTTTAATTGGATTTTAATAGAATAGCTATTACAATTAAAAGAAAATATTTAAGTGAGCATATTTTTTAGGAGTAAAAGCGATCTTCTCTTTCTCTCTTTCCATAAAGTTTGGTCAAGTGGATCGAGGACGGTGTACCTGAAGATCCCTTCCTAAACCCGGAGCTGATGAAGAACAACCCGTGGGTGGAGAAAGGCAAATGCATCCTCCTCTAGGAAGAAGACATCCGTCTCCCCAGAGCTGCCAGTGTCAACAGTAACCCCTGCAGACGACCCCTGAAGCCGACCTGGACTGTGAGGGCAGAGGCAAAACAGCGCCCAATGAGCCCTCACCATGAATGTACTACAGCTGATACCCCCACCCAGTTCACCACAGACACACACACACACACATGGCAACAAGGGCACAGAATCACACATTTCCACATCTCCTCGAACCTTACCTGACTCTTTCTCTGCAAGTTTATTACTGTATCAGCAATCTAGCAATCACTATGATATGAGAGCAACAATTATTACTTGTACTGCACTGGTTTGTATGAATATACTGTAAGATTATTTATTCTGCTGGCGGTTGCAAGCATTTTCTTTGCAAATTTCTTTTTTAACTTCTGACTTTAATGAGTCAATGATGTTTAATACAATGTAGACTCACATCCTCACTGCCAGACTGACTGTAGGTGCACTGAAAGAAAGTCCATCATTGTCACTAAAACCATAACCACACTTATTTACCTTTAATTAGATACTTTAAAAGTATGAAGCTACGAAAAAAAATGTAGATTTTGATTGTTTAATTGGAATTTAAAGATAATCCATATAGTAATCTTTAAGAAAGAATATGTCTCTGTAGGTTAGCAAAGTTGGTTTTAATGGCCTTTTCAGTACCAAAAATTTGCAATTAACGTGTAATCAACAGGTTCCATAAGTTTTATGTCCCCTGTAGACACATATACATCAATTAACCATAGTTTACACCAGAGGTCTTCAACAGGGAGGTACTGCGAAAGTTTTGGTTGATTAAACCTTTTTTTTTATATTCCCCCCTGAAATTTTCCACTAATTAAAATGTCTTTAAATCCACATTAACATGAATTCAACAGACTATAGTAAACAGATAAATGGAGGCAGAAGATGTCTTTCAGTTATCAATGCACACATTCAGCAACACACAGGAGCTCTTTCAAGCTGGGCACCGTTTCATTCACAACATCTGTCCCATCAACGTGGAATCAGAATCAAAAATACTTTAATAATCCCAGGTAGAATTATTTTTATTACATGACTTCATCTGTAATAGAGTGACTATAGGACCAGTTTGATATAACACAATTTCAAACTATTTGGGGGCCCTTGGCCCGGAAAACGTTGAAGACCCCTGGTATAGACAGTCAAATAGATGGATCTATAGTTGTATATGTAAAAAATAAACGCATAAATCACCACACTATGGCTAAATGTTAATGTCAAAGATTTTTGATTTAGGTCCAATTTATGCTAACATGGTAGACTTCAAACTGTAATACGCAAGCAACCCTAGTCTATTCGCTTTTCAATGGGGACAGTATAAAAACAACTACGAAAAAATTTTTGTTGACTTGAAAATGAAATATAGCAGCCTGCTTTTACAACAAAATAACAATTTCTAAAAATCTATTTTAATATTTCAAAACCAAGCTGAGAAAATTATGAATAAGAGGAAATGTTAAATATTTTTAAAGAAAACATGAGCTACAATTGTTTCAGTAGAAATGCTACATTAGACATGCTAATAACATTAACCCTTTGAATTAAGTACAACACATTATTATGGAAAATTCACTGGAATTAATTTGGTTCACTTTTTCAGACACTCTTTATGATACTTGAAGAGTAATATTAGTGAACACTCTATGTATATTTTTTTCATTTATTTAGATTTAGCCATGATCTTTTGTTTTAGCTAATTATTTTAGGCTAAAAGAACTATTTAGGTTACATTTTGATGCTAGGGGTTTGTTAGCCATTCATTTACTTCATAAATGATCTGTAGTGGTGTTGGGGTTTGAGTTTATTTTGAAATCTCCTTGATTTAGGGAAGAAAAGCAAATTCAATCAGTTATTAGTTGTCCAGTTGTAGCAAAATGTGACAATCATGCACATAAGGTTAGCTATGCTAACATGCTAGCTAGGTTTGCATAGCATACACACGTTAAAGTTAATATAACACAAAGTTTAATAAAACAAACAATTAAGATATGATAATTCTTTTATAAACATCCTCCTTCAAAATTGTAAGAATATACTGTATTTTAAAACTATATTTAAACCCCACGCAGTATCAGAAAAAAAAGAAATCTTTGTTGCAGGACTCATTAGTGATATTGATTATATATGGTCACCAAATTATTAAGCTGCCACATTCTGAAATTGAGCCTTTTTGGTTGAAAACCTCAAAGAGAACAAAAGCAGTCAAAATAATTGGGTTTATAGTAGCAGCCATGACTGGGCTGGAGGTGAACAGTAGTTTAACACAGAAAACCCAAAACACATTTAAAATTGTTCGGCCCATGAGCTGCCCAGGACTAACTCACAGAGGAGAAAGATATGTCAGGAAAATAAGGAAAATATCTGAAGCAGAAGAAGGTGTCACATTAAAATATGGCAGTTTACTGACTTAAGAGACTGCCTGCCAAGAAACTTTTTTGTGACAGGTTACGTGGGCACAGCATTCTCTGACTGAAAGCGGCTACTTATGGATATTTTAAGAAAACCACGACTCTACAGCTTAATACCTCCTTAAATATGTTTACCACCGCCTGCGCATACCATGCTAGCACCCTATTAGCTTTCAAAACTAGCTCACTGTTATGTATGGCTGCTGCCCTTTTCTTATATTTTAAACTTCCTTTAAAGGACAATCATTCTCAGATTTAGCTTCAGGGTCACGATGTCAGTTATGACTAAATGAATCTCTCTGGGGTGAGTTTAGGTTACTGCTCCCTCTCGGCCTGAACTACAGCCCCTAAAGACCGCGCACAAAAGTGGAAACCAACACAAATAAAACCTTTCACACAGTTCTGTTTCCTCTCATGTATAGACAGACCCCTTTAACTTATTAACTTATTTATTTATTTATTGAAAATACCTTTCCTTAAGCTATTTTATATAGTCGCACCCCCTTTCCTCTTTGTTTCCCCCTCAGAAAAAGAAATAAAATGAAGGAAATTCCCCCCCCTAAAAAAGCGAAACCTTGCCGGATCACCATCTACTACTGCCTTGTACACAGTTTCCTTAAAAACGAGAATGTAAATATGTGGCGTGAGGTTCCAACATCACCGCTGACCTCAGCTCTGGCCTGCGAGTGCATGCGACTGCAGTGTTATGTGTGCATATTTCAGAAATAAGTTTGGACAAGAGGCTCCCATGTGGGTTTACGAAGCACACATGCAGCTGCATCACACACACAGGAGGCTGACCAGATTACCAACACACACTCGCATGAAGGCACGCTGCTCAGCAAGAATGTGTATGAAGGGAGGAGTGGCAAGGACACCAGAGTCTGGAAACGACTTGGGACAGCAGAGCTTCACATCTTCTCTGTACTGTAATAAATCAGATTTAATTTGTGTTTTTCATTGACGTATCAGGAAGTTTGAAAACTTTTACTTTCAGATAACCATATTTTTGCCCATAAGAGTTAATAAAGAGGTCTGTTTATGTTTTTTGTAGTTGGAAAACAAGAGCAGACATGTTTTTCATTTTAAATATGTCAACTGTAACAATAAAACCCTAACATACAGTTGTGTTCAAACTAAAAGCATTGCATAACGCATAAAAAAAACTAAATTTGTGCAAAAAAAAAAAAAGGACTCAAGCTTATAACGGCTAATAGCTTTGGGTTCCCCATAAAAAAAAAAATTAAGTAATTTTTTATTAACAAGAAATGTTTTTTTAAAAACTGGATCCCATCTGTGTTACATGGTTGGCTTCACATGGTCGGTCAGCCCTGAGTGAGTGCTCTACATTCTGTCATTGTTCTGCTTTTCTTGGTTTTTTATTCAGAAACGGCAAATTTAATCTCAAATGACAGGTTTTCTATTGGATTAAGGTCCGGGACTTTGGGCTGGCCACTCCATGTGGGTCTGTACTTGTTTAATGTTGTATGTTTGGGGGCTGGTATCTTGTCAAAGCAACCGTTTCCTCTTCAAATATTTTCATAATTTCAAACTTATCCATGATCCCTGTTTTGCAAAAAAAGATCACTCCATACCAAATTGTGAGAAGCATGTTTTGACCGTAAGGCCCCTGCCACTATGCAGTATACTGTGGCCTGAAATCAACTGATCTTAATAAGTCATTTTCTCTTAAAATAATTTAATTCAGTTTATTTATATGGTGCCAATTTACAACACATGTCACCTTAAGGCACTTTACAGTTCACCAGATCATCCAGTCAAATTGATTCAAAGTTTACTATCTAAGGAAAACCAGTTGATTGCATCGACTCATTGACTCGAGTGCAATCCCTCACACTAAGTGTGATAGTGTGAAATTATTGCCCTTGTTCTTGTTTTGAGGGGGTAAATGAGATACTTTGGCAATGGAACAAGACAATTTACATTTAAAATAAGAACAAAAAATTGCATTGTCTTATTTCAAGTGCATATTATCTAATTCTTTTAAGAGTAAAAAAACTAACCTCATTCCTTTGGCAACAAATCTTATTTAGCTGATTAAAATAAGGCTAAATACACTTAATTTAAGAAATTTTACTTATTTCTAGATAATTTTTGCAGTGTAGCTCTTTGGTTGTTGCTTTTTTTTAACAACAAGACTTTGCTGGAGGCTTTTGCAGATACCTTGGTTTACCGTGGGTGTCTCATGTTACAGTAATGGATAACAACTTCTAGATTTTCCAGTTTGTCATTTTAACTATTCTTTACTCATTGTAAGGGTATTTTAGTTTTTTTGTCTTGTTTGGTCTCCATTTCTAAATATTTGAGATTGATTCAGCCTTAAATTTCTTAAATTCCTTGAAATGTCAGTCCTCTTTTTAAGTGTCTATATATTGCAAAGTGATTTTCTTTTAGCTTTAAATTTGTTAACATCTTGTCCACAATTGCTGCCTCATACTGTAATGCCACAATAAGGATACTGTCCACCATTACAACAGGAACAGCAGCTGGTTTACTTCGTTCTTTTTCAGGCATTTTTGTTGATTTTCATGTGGCCGGTTAACAGCTTAATGCAATATACACTGCAAAAAATTGAAATCTAAATAAGTAATTATTTTCTTAAAATAAGTGCATAAGTTCTTGAATCAAGGAGGTTTAGGGAGACACTTTGCCAATGGAAGAAGACAATTTACATTTAAAATAAGAACAAACAATTGCATTGTCATATTTTAAGTGCATATTATCTAATTATCTAATTTTAAGATTAAAAATACTAATTCCATTGACAAATCATCACATTTATTTACTCACATTAAGGTTGAATTTTGAAATTTTGAAAATTTTTTGCCATTCCTTTAACGAAATCATGCTGAAATAATGCTAAATAAATCATCTGAATATTGCTCTTTGAGCTGCAGCCTTCTGGCCTTGATAATGAGCGGCCATTATCCTTTTTTATAGAGAGATGTCATTACCTGCCCCCTGCAGGAAATACTTTCACTGATTGCTCCTCCCCTGCCCAGTAAACAACAGACACACTTTCTCAAATCAGCTAGCAACGATTTGAGGCATTATCAATAATTTCTCTACAAAGTTGAAACTAACTTTAAGCAGTTAATCTGCACAGTGACAGCAACTGTTCTGTTTTCAGCTAAGTCGGGAAAATTAATCTTTTAAATGCAAGAGGTCTCAACTAATAATAACTAATGAGTAGTCAGTGCCAAAGTCGATATGTCTTCATATATTTGCCTTTAGTTGACTTTGGAAGGCTTAAAAAAGCATGAAATAGAACCTTTACCGCCAATGTCTGGAACAGGCATATTTAACACAGAGAGGAATGCTTTGATCCATAAAAATCAGCTGCCCCTTTGACTCAACCTTTTTTTCCCCCACAAAAATGATTCAATGATCTTCAATAATTTAACACCATAATACTATTGTTT